ACTTTTAAATTTTAGATCATGTTTATATAGATTAAAATAGATTGTAACTGTAATAATAGATTGTAATAATATTATCATTTTATCTGATAGATTTACCGTGTCTAAATAAAAATAAAGTTCAAGTTCAAGTTCAAGATCATTATTTTTGTTAAAAAAAACAAAAAATATCCATAACAAACGACATCTAAACGTATATACTTGAGATCAACAGTCTATCCGAATCTTCAAGGCAGTCAGTCGCTAACCTGTGGTAGTTTTTAGAGATGGGCGTCATTATTAATCTGAGCGAGTCGTTTGATAACATCTCAATATTAAATGTCTTCAGAGAGATTGAAAATTATAGTAAGGTCGTAGAAGGACTTGGATGGCGAGAAAATTTTTCAGTCAGCTTACGGGAATGCAGGGAGTCATTCGAGTGAATCATTCGAGGTGATCCAAAAAATTGTCATGTTCACGGCATGCGGAGGCAAAAGCCAGGATACATTTTCGTAAGTCCGACCCCAAAATGCACCCAAAGTATTTGAGAATTGGTGTACAAAGCGGCTTTAGGAAAAAGTGCCAGCTGGTAGAAAAATATCTCTGCTATAAAAGAAACCTATCAGGATGACAAGGACATAGTTTGGATTGGAGAGGTTAATTTGAGTAATTTGAGATATTACAATGTTTAAAGGGAAAGTACGGTCGAGAAAATATTTATCTTAGTTAGAAGACTTTTTCCTCAGGAGTTCGAAAGTAACTGCCATTTTATACAGTTTGCTTAGCATTAGCGGTAAGAATGCTTTGAAATTGCCTTTTTTCACAACTTTCGTGGTTAGAAACACGCTATCTCGGATAGCAATTCTCAAACTTTGTTCGACGCTTTGTCCTTGTTGACCTGGTCGACCTTTGTGAGAACAATTTCAAGTAGTTGAACTCTGGCGAACTGTCTTGTGGCTGAATGTCAAAATACACGCTAAATTCAAAAGGAAATTGTGTAAGCCTCCACAGGCTACCGGGCTATGAAATATGAAAATAAATTTGGCTGACAAGAAAAACCCGCAAGGATGGCTCGCCAAACCCTGCAAACCCGTCCAGAAGACTTCCAGCGAGATACATGCACACAGGCATGAAAGTTGTTCTTGTTGACCTTCGCCTCAAACTGAAAGCTACGTTTACCTTTTCCACATTCGCCACGATGTTCATTTATTTATTCTATATTGTTTTTTGAAACCATCCGTCTTATTGACCAAAACTGCCTTTCGATATCGTTAGCTTTTCCAAACAGTGTATAAGTATATCTTGTCTTTTATATGTCTGTTGTGAGTCCACCAAGTAACTTTTCTTTACCCACCAGTCTCATACTTTTACGAAAGAAAACTAAAGGGAATTTAATACACTGCCGGTAAATATCCTAGACACATTTGCAAAATATGAAATTATCCTTCGTTAAGCAGGCGCCCATGTTTCAGGATATCATATCCTATCGCCCAAGTCAAGACTTTACTTAGTAGAGCTCTCCTCGCCACTGTTGTCCTTCTTTGTTTACATCCATCTCAGCAGGAGCATGCTTATTTATTGCTACGTCATAACAAAGGGAGCATGCTTATCTATTGCTACGTCATAACAAAGATGGCGGTTTTCAAATTGAAAATGCTGATATTTGGAACGTAATTGTTCGCAACTAAAACGCTTTTCGCTCAAATGATCAGCCAATTAGGAAAACGCTCGTAAGTAACTTTTGACATAAGTTAACTTTTTCAAGACCGTACTTTCCCTTCAAGAAGTAATATTGAAGTTACTGCACTTGACCAATCTTCAAGCGCTAAATTCCTTTGCAATATTGTCGGAGTAAAACTGTTTTACAGTTTTCTGTTTGATGTGGAAAAATGTCTCCTTGCTTTGCTGGCAATGATGCACCTGGTGAGGCAAATGTTTTGCCTTTGAGTCCTGATCTTTCAAAGATAAATGAATTTTGAAGTCTCACATGGAACAAGTACAGGCACCTTTCGGGTGAATCTTACTCTCTCAGCTTTTTATTTGATAAGATGTAGCTTCCGGTGTATTTCCGGATCTCGATTCTAAGAAAACTAGCGGAAAGAAAATTTGCACTTTGCGACGGAGGGGGAGGGTGAAGGCTTATGGTGTCTTGGGAATAAGACAGAACATCGCAGAATTGAGAATGAACAAAATAACCTTTTCTTTTTTAATTTTCCTCTCGTTTGTTTGCTTGTTGTTTGCAAAGAACATTAATTCCTGGTCTTAAAAGAGAAACCAGTCAGTCAGTCTTCCCTTTCCCCCCTCTCTGCCCTCATCTTTTCTTGGCGAGTTCACGCTGACTTATATTTCGCGGGCACCGTGCCTCAGCGTGCGCCTCCTTAAAAGTGCTCTGTTGGGACAGAGCTGAATGACAGTGTGGAAACACGAATTTTGAGTCGTTCGCAGGGTTGATTTCCTATTCTGTTGCTTCGAGGTGTCGTTTTCCTAGCTGCTTTTCTTTTACAGAACAACCTCCAAAAACTTGGTACACCCCCTAAAAATTAATTTTCTCCTTAAAAACTCTGGAAATAGGAAAATGCCTTTGACGAAAACAAAGTCCCTTGGTTTTAAATGTCAGCCCTTCTTTTTATCCGCTAATTTCGCTAAATTTTAGACCTACAACACCTGAGCCCGCGTTGTTGACCGCATACCCTTTGACGTAGCATTTATTCTTTAGCTCTGTCCTCTGTGAGACAGCAGCACGTAACAGACAGTTCCTTGACTTACTCTTCACCCTGTAAGGTAAATAAAAAAATATAAGTCTTGTTCATCAACCTCGCTCGACTTTTGACAATTCGCAAATAATAAGTTCCGCCATAACAGATTTTGCGACAATTTCCGAGAACCACCCGACTCGGAAACTAGTTTCTAGTACTCCTCGGATGTTTTATCGGACAGTAACGTAAGTACAACCCATGCTCCTGTAACAAAGCAGTGCTCACCATCATGGGTCCAAGATCAAGAAACCGTGGGTTTAACCGTCTCTCAAAGGCTTTGCAAAGCGATCGGGAAAAGATTAAACACAATAAGTCCCTCAAAAATAAAGTCAGAGACGTACAGAGACTGCTTAAAAAGGTGAGACAAATCGAACGATGTCGTTCTAGATGTAATTTGCAGCGCGTCATATCAAATTTTTTCGTGAGCTGTTTGAAGTAGCTTTGTTCAGTAGAGTTCTGCGTTAAGAACAGCCACGAAGTTCTTTTTTGCACATAGGGCATTGTTGCTGTAAAAAAGATTTTAAAAATTAAAAAAAAATAGTCGGACGAGGCGAGAGAAGAATCACGCCTGAACTGTACCCATCCTTGCGGTTAAGTGAGTGCTTTATGTCACGTGATTGTAAGATAACTCGAGCCTCAAAAGAATAATCCCGGTCACAGCAGTCACAGTAGTTAACTTGAATGTATTATTCTTCTCCATACTGTTCACTATACATTTACTACAGTTCTGACAGGGAGAGCCTCTTGTAACAGGTTGATGATCATTTTCTTAATTCTCATGACTCAAATGTTTGGTACAGAAGTGATACTGTATGGAGAAATCAGATACAATGCATGGCAAGCAAACTCCTTTTGTCTACTCTTAAGTAGAACAACTATTAATCAGTTTTCCCTTTTCTATCAAGACCCAAACTTTTTCAACTCTTTTACTCCTGAGATCACTGGCTCACCATCTCTCACATCCTTGAGAAGAAAGCCCAAAATGTGTGTTCTTCTACCATGGACCATTAGGTATATTTTTCCCATTTTTTAAGAGTGATCTTCCAGCAACTGTGAGAGTTGTCCAAGAGCGAATGCTTGATGTCTTAAAAGAGACTATTAAGGATAAAGCAAAGGAAGACAAACAGAAAAAGATCGAAAAAAGATCGAAAAAAGTCATATTCTTTGGTAAGTGATTCTGACACTTTTATTCTATGCACAGTAGTGGTTTACAGAACTTGTGCAATAAATTTTGAAAAAAAGGTCACAGGGAGAAAAGGAATTGTATAATCTTGAACATAATTCAATTCAAGTGGCCCATCTGGCAGGAGCTTATCTGATTTCTGTAGCATGAAGTGAGTAGGAGTATGACCTCTCCTCCCTGGATGGGAAGCATTACCCTTTGCTACTCCAGGGTGGAGGGTGGCATTGTTTTGTTCCAGGGACACAACACAAAGACTAGACCTAACAAGCTAACTATAAGGTTACCATGTTTCCCACCAAATAGAAAACAAAGTAGAAGTATTTATTTTTTCCTAACACCGTAATTATTCGATTTACCACCCTTTCTATTCATGGTTACAATTTTTGTCCAAATTGATTCAAAGATCTCATTACCAACTCTTAAGAAAATGTTGTTTTAAGATAATTGATTGAAGATTTCTATTTCTATGCAGAGAAAAAAAAGATATTTAGAAAATACAAATCTTGTTTGAAAGAGCTGAACGAAACAGAGAATAGTGAAACAAGGTTGGTAGAAGTCTCTGAGTGCTGAGTGTGGTACACTCCTAAATAAATGTAAACCTCAGGAAATTTGTCATGTGAGTATCTCACTTGTGCCCAGTCTCTTAGCTTTTTAACCCCACTATCTCATCTCAACCCAGAGAGAATGGTGCTGTTAAAGGAGGGGGGGATGGGACTTCTATACCGAAGAGGCAACAAGAGTAATGTTAGGTCCAGGAAAGGTTAGATTATGAGTAACTCTTTGTGATTATTCTCCAAACCTTCATGGTGTCCAGGGGATTTTATTGCATTTTTTAAATATTTCTGAAAAGTAGGTGCTGTCTCAAAACATCACAACCATGGAAATATGATGTTACTTAAATGCATTTTAAAACCCAGTGTAGTATCCAAGTCATTTTTTTAAAAAAAAAAAAAAAAAAAAAAGGAAAAAACAAGTGCTTAAGTTTGAAATTACTCTCTTCTTGGAATCTTATAAACCACATTAAAAGCTGGGAAACTTTTTTATATTCATGAGACTGTAGAATTCATGGGCATCTGGTGATGTAGCCTGACCTTTGTGTGAGAGTAGTCCTTAGAAGAACTGAGGTAATCGCTGATAGAAGTGAATGTCTTTAACAACACTTGTCTAGCAGAATCACGTCATATTCAGTTCTAATGATGATGGTGATTTCTATTAAGGATATTGAAATATCAATTGTGTCTACAGACGACAGTTCTTCTCAGGACTGCTCTTATGAAGACAATCAGACTACATGGTAACATGTTACTCTACTGTTTACTTTAGAACTCAGGCAAAATGGTATAAATATATCTTATTAATCAAGCGCGAGGGCCGTACTGGGAGAATATCGGCCCMATCAGGTCTTCACAGTATGGACCGAGCGCAGCGAGGTCCATACAAAAAAGACTGAGAGCCAATATTCTTTCAGTATGGTCCCAAGCAAGTTTGGTTTATTATACGACTGAAGTTCAAAGGGATGCAAGTGCGGTATCATTTGGGACCATTCGGGACAGTGCCCGGTCCAATACTGAGAGAATATTGACTGGCAATAGAGCATTTTGATTGGTTGATTTTAGTTAATGGCCCTCTGACTGCCTGAGTCGTGTAATAAGAAATGTGTACGTACTTAGAAAGTAAAGAGTGTGGAACTTTTTACAGCTATGTTTTATGTAGTATTACAGGTTTTTGTACAGTCTACAAGGGTTCATTTGATCTATATGTCTGCAGAAATTCTTTACTGAAAGAGCTTGAAGAGATCAAGCAGCAGTGGAATTATGTTTATGTAAGTTAAGGGTGGTGCTAGATAAAATGTGTCATACAAATGTTACAATTTTGGCCTGGTCTCCTCTTGAACTGGTTATGTTGTTGTAAGTCAGTTGAAAATTAATACAGCTATTAATACTTTTTCGATCAAGGTAGTCCATCTGTTTTAAGATCAGCAGTGTTAAATTAGAATTAAGAAATGATCAGAAGTACAGGGTTGTTTTTTAGAAGCTGTCATTGACTCCTTATCAACTACTTGACAAGATTCCGAGGAATCTATTAAGCTACTTTGTCTTCTAAACATTCATTTCCTATTCTTGGGCACCATCTAAGATCTTGTTGCTGCCATGTGTATGCAACTGCCACTAGTGTCATTTTGACTAATTATGATACTTCAATTTAAAACTAATTTTTTTGCCAAAGTAACACTGTTTTATCTTATTTAGCATTTTCCAGGAAACACCAAGTATATTTCATTGTTTCCACTGACCTCCCATACAAATGCAGACATTGTTGCTAAACAAGGTGCTCTAATTTATGTACTATAGTGTTATTAAATTCATCTACTTCTTGTTTTGATAAGGCTTACTATATTAGTTCAGAAAAGGTAAAGAAATGTCACAGAGGTTTTTATGTTTCAACCATATCACTCCACAGATCTTATAATTTAGTGTTTCTCCTTCATGTCTGCCATATAATGAGGGCCTGTTAGGGGGGATATAGATGTCGCCCATCTGAATTTCCAACTTTGTCACATCGCCATTCAGAAGGTTCTGATGTTGCTGTCAGAATTTCATCAATGTCGTGCTTGAAGTTGCATTTTTATTCCCTGATGTTGCTGTTTCAACGCCATGTTGCCCGTTGGTATTTACCCTATCAGGGCCTCTATAATTTGTATTATGTTAGTTTGGCGAATTTGGTATTGAATCAGCAAATAATCCCCTAATTTACATTTTTCTTTATTCTTGTCACTTTTCTGCTTGATGTTGTATTGATATTGTAAAGAGAAATTATGCCTTGTTCACTCATGGGAGTTAAAGTGTAAACAAGTACAAACCTTTGAATCATCACAAACTGTGTTCTTAGATTGACTGCGGTAAAACCAAGTACAGAGTAATTCAATCAACCTATCAGATGACAGAAAAATATGACAACAACTAATGATATCAACCAATCAGATTTAAGGAAAATGTCACAACATCAAGTCGTATCAACCAATCAGATTTAAGGAAAAATCACAAGGAGCCAGTGAGAATGCAAAGTAAGGATCAATGTCAATATCTGAACAACTGTGCACCCACCCCACCCCTGACCTAACAACAATCAACTGATAACAAGTTAGGGTTAATGTTGGGTTAGGGGAGGGGTGGGTGCACAGTTGCTCAAATAATGACCCTGATCCCGAAGTAAAACCAATCAATTAGCTTGGAGCATAGGAAAACGTGAGGGAGCAATTCTCATTTTGTTTTAATTTTGCATCTGTTTAGTTTAGGGGGTGGCACATTTTTTTTTTAGACAAACCACAGAGCATAGTAAGGGAAAACCATGATTGCAATTGTTGAATTACTTTTGACCTCACTTTAAATTTTGATCTAAAGAGGACTCGACTTTAGTTGATTGTATCTCTTTGCAATTTGCAGAAAAAATCCAGAAAACTATTGCAAAGAAAGTGGCAGGGGGTGAGTTGGAGGATGCATCCAGTACAATTTGGAAAATGGGTAAAGCTTCTCAAAAAGTGACAAAGGAAAAACCTAAACTAGTGTTGAGTGACGAAGAATCAGGACGAGTTGATTCGAAGGGAGACGGTGAAGATGGTGAGAAATGTTTTCCTTTTGCTATTAATCGTGCTTACCACGTGAGATCCAGGGCACCTTTAATCATGGGCCCTAAGTATTTAGGACGGTGAGGAAAACGGTGATTAAAATTATATTTTTACTTACAATTTCGGTAGTGGCTCCATGAATTCATCTTCTCTAGCAGTGCCAGACCTCAAGGTTAGCCAAGGTTGAGTTCCAAACACAAACGTGACTCATTTGCTGTCGATGTTTCCGTTCTCAGAAATCGCAAGATTTGGTGACTTAACGTTGTTGTTTTGCATAGTATGTACGCGCAAAGCTACTGTTTTCCGCATTGTCGCTTTTTCTTCTCTATTATCTCTTAGCAATTGCCGTCAGGGTTTGCTTACTGTCCATATTAAGGGAAAGTTAATGTTTCATGCATGTGTGTGTTTAGTGGAAAACAATACCGAGTTCTTTCCCAAGGGAATAGTGTTTCTGAAAACTGTTTTAAACTATATTCTATGTACAAGGCTGAAAGATTAGAAAAAATTAAAATTTTTTGAACCAAACGTTTTTGGCTGTTTGCTATCATCAGGGTTGAAAGTGATGATCGTCTGGACAATACGACATACATGTTTATCTTATGTAACTCCCAATGGGAAAAGTTTGGAGTCATAAGAAATAACTTGTTTGTCCAAGTTTTTAACTACTTTTACTGCCTGTCATGTCTGATAGAATCTGGAGATCAGGAACCACCGCCAATACTCGACCCTAGAGAGGATGACTTCTTTATGGATTCAAGTCCAAGCCCAGGTAAATAATGAAGATGTAGCAGTGGCGGAGCCAAAACAAGAGGGGAGCTTGGGTCGAGTCGAATTGGATCGGTTGGGTTCCTTACGCGACTCGACCCAAATCTCCCTGCTTTCTTTAACCCCACCCAAACCTCTCGCTCCACTGCCATTGCGGTGCCTTTCATCTATCGCGTTTCGTTTTAATTTTACTATCGCGTTTCGTTTTAATTACCTAAGCCCTAGAACAGACTCAATTGTCAGCGTCTGCAGAATCACGCAAGAAGAACTGCAAAGCACAGAAAAGAGATGCACTCTGCGTGTTATTTGCGTGCATTACACGCGTCTTACGCGCGTGTAGATATTCTCTCTTTCCTATCGTCAGAACTGGTTTGTTGACCGTGTCGGTAAATAGGGGGGGATAAGTTTGGAAAACTTACGGGAATAGTTCAGGCTACACTGTAATAGAATTTATATTCCTGCATGGACTTCTCGTGAAATGCGCGAGAGTTTTGGACTTTGTATGCTGCGGATTGTAGTGGAAACAGTTCCTTTTCCTTTTGACTATGCAACGTGACTATGCAACGTGCACGCGCGACCTCGCGAGGAATATTCGTGAAATTTTGCCAGAGTTTCCCTCGCTGTACGCTGCAGACGGTGGTGGAAATAATTCCTTTTCTTTTTTACTCTTGAAACACGCGGGACAGCGCAACTTGCACGCGCGTCTACGTAAGGAGTAGCCTTACCAGCTCGAGCAAGTTTTTCTTGTCCCGCCAGAACAGCGCCGTCTAAAAAAATTAAGCTTGTTTTTTTTTTTTTTTTAGGGATAATTGGCTCAGGAGTAATGGTTGTTTCAGCGTTAACTCCTGTTCTTTCTATTTTTTGATTGGTTCTTGTTTTTATAAATTCTGCAGTTTTTTTCCTTTTACTAGGAATAGATTTTCTTGCTTTGATGTTTTTACTTATTTATGTTGGGGCAATAGCTATTTTATTTTTATTTGTTATTATGTTATTAAATCTAACTGACTATCCTCCGGTTTTAAAAAGAGAGGTTGATATGACAAATTATATACCAATTGGATTTATAATTGGGATTTTTTTTTTTTCAGAAATTGCTTCAAGTGGATTATTTTTGGGTTCTTTTCAAATAGAGAATTGAGACCTTTCTTTTCCTTGATTTCTTATTTCTTATCATAATATTGAGGCCTTAGGGCAGATTTTATATGTTTCTTGTTTTTGTTTATTTCTTTTGGCCAGTTTTATTTTATTAGTTGCTATGATTGGTGTGATTGTATTAACTCAAGAAACAGAATTTTTAAGTAAAAAACAAGATCTTTTTTTTCAAATAAATAGATAATGAATAGCTCTTCTTATTTTGAACAATTTAACATAGTGTGAATGTTTGGTTTTACGAATTCAACAATAATGATGACTTTTGTAATTATTGTTGTTTTATTACTTTTTAAAGGAATTGAATTAATTCCAAAAAGATGGCAATCGGTTTATGAATATCTAGAAAATTATTTTTATTATATAACAGTGCAAAATTTAGGAAATGTGGGTTTAATATATTTTTCTTTTATTGTTTCACTTTTTGTTTTTTTAGTTTTTTTAAATATTTTAGGCTTATGTCCTTATGTCTTCACACCGACAACCCATATTGTTAATACGCTTGGATTTTCTTTTTCTATTGTTATTGGAGTTACTTTTTCTGGATTTTATAAATTTAAAAAAGACTTCTTTAGCATTTTAATGCCTAGCGGCGCTCCTTTAATTTTAGCACCACTTTTAATTTTAATAGAAACAGTAAGTTATATTTCTCGAGCTGTTTCTTTGGGCATTCGTTTAGCAGCAAATCTTTCTGCCGGGCATCTTTTATTTGCAATTTTGGCAGGATTTGGTTTAGTTTTTAAATCAGCAATGTCTATAATGGTGTTTATTACTTTATTGGAGGTGGCCGTTGCGGTGATCCAAGCGTATGTGTTTTGTCTGCTGACATTAATTTATTTAGCAGACACAATTTTTCTACACTAATCATGAGCGGGGTAGAAATTTTTTTATGCTCATTAATGGGTGTGTCGGTGTGTTGTAATTATGCGTTCATGATGGCTTGATACAGCCAATCTTCTCAAAGGTGACTTCAGCATCAAATGGATCTTCCAGAGAATACTGAATACGTGCATCCTTGAACTTATTATAGTTATGTGCGCCGTCATGGTATTGTTCATAATGGTGGGGTACAAGTAGATCAAGAATCCAATGGTGCTGATCGGCCAAGAGATGTAATTTTTATCGATTTAGAAAGGCGACAAGTGCCCTTAAGGGGTCGGCGAGTTTTTAGGGTGGCGGAAAATGACGAGAGTTTGTGTGATAATGGTAATCGCTTGTGTCATGACGAGGGTTTGTGTGATAATGATGATCGTTTGTGTGTTCATGGCGAGAGTTTGTGTGATGATGATAGTTTGTGTGATAATGACGAGTTTCAAGATGGGGTTTTGCATTTAAGTAAAAGTGCAAGTGAGTCAGTAGTTTTTTGTTCTCCAACCACGGCTGTCCAAAGAGGATGTCTTCCAAGCACACACTGTAACTAATGTTTTCGGTCGTTAAAATCACTTGTGAAAAAGAGACAATTGTTTCAAAAAACAGAAATGGTTGTGAATTATGTCAGTGTAAGTATATTTCCATATATTTTCTATCAGATGCAGGAAAGCTTAAATAGAGTGAATTTATTTATTAAAGAAATCAATGTAGTCGGAATTGCTAAAATATTTATTAAACCCTCGTAAAAAAAAAAAAAGAGGTAAAGCCTACTTAGGAGTCACGTGGCACATTGGGCTGGCTCTAAACTTCGGTTTCCGCAACATGAAGCGACTGGGAGTTTTATAACGTCACGTTACCGTATAATCTGCCCTTCACGTTAGGTAGATGTGTTCGAACTGAATTGAAAATGAAGAGGTGTTATATTCACAGCAAACAAAGGAACAGAAGGACAAAATAAACAGGTTAATGTTTAAGAAGGACTTTGCACTTCAGAATATTACTTCATGTGACGGTGACACTTTGCTTCAGGTAAAGCGCTTCCAGTTAAAATATAACAGCATAAAATTTGCTAATAGTTTGTTTTTCGAATATCAAGATGTGGCAGTCTTAAAGTCTAGTTTTAATTGATAATATTCTGAGCATTGTCTCTAAGGCCTCTTGGCGTACTCTCAACAAAGACATTGGCAATCGGAACATGACCTTTTTCAATCTGCATTTGACTTTCCTTGTCCGCTCTCAAATAAAATAACTTTGTAATGCCGCCATGATGATAAAATAATCAAATGGGAAAAAAAAAAGACGAACAAAGCAAAAGGGTACTATATATACACGGCATAGAAAGACTTTTGTTACCATAACACCGGTCGAACTGAAAGAAAAAATTTAAAAGGTTTAGTGGTATTCGCGTTATTTTGTGAGCTGTTGTTTGTTTTTCAAGAAAAAATTTTGTCTACTTAGCTTGGATGTAAGCTGTTCCAAAACGGAAACGCAAAATATTAGCCGAACATTTCAGTTTTCATAACGATGATTTATTTAACTCGCGTTCGTTAGCAGGTGTTTACCGGGATAAAATTGGTACATGGAAATTACCAAAATGAAAATTGTTTTACTCTTATTATGCCTTTGTGACATGTGATTTGTCAGTTGCGTGTAGATTTCCCACCAGGTCGGAGCGTGACAAGATAAGGGGCAAGCTGATTAGAAATCTTTTGGATCGGGGCTGTTTAGACTGCTAAAATGTTGAACGGGAAAACGAACGATGCTGAAAAGGATGGGACTGTCAAAGTTGTCGCTCAGATGATCGTGTTTACATTTATTATAATAGCCACAGTTGTGGGGAACGGTTTGATCTGTATTTCGGTGGCGAAATTCCGCCATCTGAGAACAAACACGAATTTCATCTTGCTTAGCTTAGCGCTGACTGATTTGACAATGGTGATCATAATGATTCTTAACGCTACCACAACTGCCATCGGAGAGTGGATTTTTGGCAAGTTTTGTTGTCGTGCAATCGCCTCCGTTGGCCTCACGTTATCATTTATTTCCATTCTTCATATGTGTTTGCTAAGCGTTGATCGCTACATAGCCATCCAGAAACCACTTCGTTATCAATTCATAGTCACAAGAAGAAGGGTGGTAACAATTTTGTTGCTTATTTGGCTGTCAGTAAGTGTCATTTTGAATATACCGCTAGCTGACTTTGAGTACCGAGCGGATACTTACGGTTGCTCAAGTTACTTTAACCGTGACCCCTCTGTAAATTCCATGTATATTCTCTTTCTTGTGGGACTATTTGTTATTTTACCATTTGGAATAATTTTCTTCTCCAACGTTGTTGTCTTCAAAACCGCCTTTACACAAGCCAGGCAGTTGAGCAGAGTCGAACGAAGCCTGCGCGAATCGTCCGCGGACATGTGCGAGGAAAGCGAACCACAACACAGGTCGAGAACAGTCGAAACACACTCGTTGAAGCGCGAAATAAGATCAGCTGGGACTTTCGCTTTGGTTGTTGGGATATTCCTGCTCTGTTATACGCCATTTTACACGGCTGGTACTTACAGAAAACTCGCTGGTCCTATGAAGGTTCCTCGAAATGTTTTAGTGATGACAATGTGGGTTGGGTTTGCCAATTCGTTTTGTAACCCAGTCGTCTATGGATTGAGGTATTCACCATTTCGGAAGGCCTTCAAAAAATTATGTTCCTTCAGATCAAAAGGGAACATTAAGAGAAATTATAGTTGTAACTCTTCGAGTGGCCGGTGCGATCGATTTGGAACAGTTTTATCAACGAGTTCTGCGCTGTAAAATTTAAACTCTCTCTGTTAAGTCGTAAATGAGCTGTTTTTCTTCTCTAAGGGTTAAATTTAAACTTAAGTCGGTTGTTTCGCATTTTGTCTGATAGCAGGTGCGGATCAGAATGTTTTCTCTATTAGCAAGTCTTAAGTTGACAATATCAAAATGAAAACAAAAATATAATATTTACAATGACAAAACGTTAAGCTGGTAGTGAAGGAAGCAAAAGGCTTGTACCCTGTGCACAAAGAAATCTTTCATCTTGCACTTTAAATTCAAAAGAGCTGAGAGCACGTAATTGCATTTTGAAATTGATATTCAGGGCGTATCAAGTTAGTTTTTAAAATGTAGTCAGGTCCTGCCTGAGATTAATAAGGATTATTACCAAGTTATTTGAATTTGAATCAAAGAAAAATGTGTTCATTTTAAGCTTCTTGCATCTGACAGCTGTTTCTCAGTCATCTCACCGCTTTTATTACAATGCTGACAAAATGTCGTTTGTTACGTTTGAAACAAGCCGGTCAATCTGACCTTGGTACGGTAAGGGAATTATTTTCAGGAAAAATTGAAGCGAGCTGAATAGAATACTAAACAAGGAAATGGCTGAGCTCTTCTCAGCAAAGGGAAAACCATAATACGTTAGTCGCTGACACAGCTGAGCAACGGACAATATCTATTTATAAATGAAGCATCGCCATACGAGAGGTTCAAGAGTAAAAACAGCACGGGACTGAGACGTGTTTTATCTTTTCATGCTGTGATAGTGCACTTATTGAAAGGATTCGCCTGAAGAACTACTTTAAAAAGAATGATTCTCTTGTGTGTTTTCGTTTCACAAAAATTTAATTTGTATAATGTGGGCGAAAACAATTTGCTTGGAAATACCTTATGTGCAAATTTTTTTTTTGTTCGTTTAAATGCCTCGTGTTTAATAATTAATGTTATGAAAAGACAGTGAAATGGGGAAAAGGAGATATTATATCTAAGATGTGATGGATAAAGAAATTTTCTAAAATCCCTGTGGTCGAAACTTATCTGATTTTAGACCTCTTTCGATCGCAAATTGCCGAGCGCAAAATTTTATGGCAAGAAATGGTTTAAAACAAATTTAATTATTAACAAACTAACGCCTTCTGACTTCAGTTAAGGCATTACTAAAAATATTTTACGTGACTCCCCCTTTTCGCCTTATTGTTTTTTTTAGATACCCCCCCTTTTAAGGCCGCTTTATTTTTGGTGACCCCCCAAATCCCCCCAGCCCTCCCTACTTGTAAAAAGTGAACGGTCCCTCAGGTGTTAAAAAGGGTTTGCCGACACTGTCCTCCGAGTTCCCTTTTAAGTTATATGGGCAAATATAACAACCTTCCTAAATAAATTTTCTACAAGTCATAAAATTCAAAAGAAACGTTTATTATATTGCATGCGTTTGAATTCAATATTCATAAGTTATTCACACACCTTTAAAACGGACAGAACGTCTACCAAATCAAAGAGGTTTCACCCTCGCATACATTCGGAGTCGAGGAACTGAGCTAGGAAAAAACGAAATCAATCGATAACAGCTCGTCAATCATCGACAGTTCGCAGCTTTGATGAGACTTTCTTCGACCTCTATCGGCTTCTCGTGACTTTTCTTTTCCGAGACAATCCGCTCCAACTCAATTGACAATATTCACATAAAATTCATAATATGTCTCTTTTTTTCGCTGCATATTTATTTTAATTCTTCTTTTTAGGAAGCCTTCAACTGCTTTCCGAGATATTCCCTAAAGGAAGAGAAAGACAGTTAATATTACAAGACTCGTTACCAGGTTTTTATTTCTTGCTCTCTTGCTATTTTTTCTCGCGCCTTCGACCTTTAATGAACCCACCGCAATATTTTAATGCATGTTTCACTAATTGTTGTACCCACTGGTACAGGCAAACCTCGTTTTACTGTATGACCTGGTTACACAGTCTTGAATCTCAAGTCACAATGTTTTGTTGTTCAGTTTTGTTGTTGTAGTCTTTGTTGTTGTTGTTTTTCTGAGTCACCAGCAAAATCTTCAGCAAAACTTTTCCCGTCAAACAAAGAAAGGAAACTACGGTTCTTGGCGCGTTTCCCATAATTTGAAGCCTCGGGGATTGAACACACCAACATAAAAAATAAAAAAAAAAAATAAAAAAAAAATTGGAAAATGAGTAATCTCAAAACGCACCAGTTGTGAACCATGAGTTTCTGTACAGCAAGAAGAGCTTCCTTACGAACATTAGGGTCATTATGAGTCATCATTTTCATGACCATCACTTTACACCCAAGATTCTCCAGCACACTACAAAAAAAACAAGAAGTCATTCCTCGGATATAACAAACCATGTAACAGCCGTTCCTGTTAGGTCGAAGAAGACTGGGTCTAGAACCCATCCCCCTGTTTCCGCGCAGTACTTCCAAATCATACACAGATCTAAATGATTTCATTACACTCTGTAAGACAAATCTCTACCTTTCTTTTACAGGAGTTAATGAATGGAATATACTCTCCCAGTAAAATTGACAAGCTGTATTTCACAGCAAGGGATGGAGGAATTAAAATTCTGACTATGAAAAGTTTCGGTCGGATAACAAACTTACTGCTTCCCGCGTGGGTAATGCCGTACGTACTCTCCAGTATCGTGAGCCGCCACTGCTAAAATGGTCGGGTCATTAGACTTGTCCAATAGTTTAGTCAGGATTCTTTAAAAAGAAAAACGGGTAGATACATTAGTTTGTATCTCTTCTCCACCCGCGAGTTGTAACCTTAGCATGCTGTTGACTATGGAAAATTTCGTGGGAATACCATAGTACCAAAAGATATCAGACCTTGCACAGGTCCTAAGTTCACCTTTCATCACTCATTAGTTCCACAGGCACACCACAAAAAAACCCGGCACCGGGATGTTCGAAGATCTACGATATACATTTTGTGAACTTACTTCAACAATTCGTAGTTCTTTTCGTTTAGACGTTGAGCGTTTTCTCTCTACAAAAAAAAAATAAAGATCAAATGGTTTCAAAAAGAATACTTGCAAAGCGCGAGCTTAATTCTTTTGTGCAAAAAGGTTTATCTTATAAAGGTGCTACTCTGAAATATTGTCGTTAATAAGAAATACATCTCCGATCATAATGGAATTAAAGGGGCAAAGTCAAAAAAAAGATAGCTAAAGTAATGAACTTAAACCAGGTAAAAATAGTTGAAACTATCACAGACATCTTCAATTACTAGGGAAAAAAAGCTAGTTACCCAGAACTTCTCAGATTTGTGTACTGGACTCCACTCCAGTCTCCCTGATCTAACTTCGGCTGCGTATTCATCAAAGGTACTGGGTCGAGGGAGAAAAAACAAGATCGGTTCAAACACCAGTGAGAGCAAAATGTCGATGATCATGACAAATGAATGATTCTTACCTCAAATCTTGTACACGTTCATTTAGTTTTTCATATACAAACTCCACATCGTCCTGAAGAGCAACATGAAATACATAGTAAACTCTTAAGATCGGATTGTGAATTCTCCTCTCCGGCTGCTACACGTTTCCTTGTAAATTAGTTACAAGAATTTGGTGTTTGATCAAGGTAACAAGTTCTACCTGACATGTTTGAGTATTCTCATGACCTGTTTGCTGGATAACGTATGGATATTATGGGGAGAAGTTACAAGTTCATCATATCTAGGAGTTCAAGGGTTAACGAAACCTCTCTGAGAACAGTAGTTGCCTGTATACAGCTCAATTACTGCGGAAGTACAGCTCCTCTTTCCGAGGTTTACAATGATTACTGCCGAAATTGTTGAGATATGGACCGAGAATGGCTAAGCGATTACCCAAGCGGATGTGATACTAGCTGAGTTTTCCATAAATTCTTCTCAGTAGCAAACTGTTGCAATCATCAACACCATGCCTTCCGCGAAGATTCAACACAGGCCGACACTTATTATCCAATCTTTGTTTCTGATTTT